TCAAATGTAAGTATGAAGTAAGAAGACTCCGACAGAAGTCTTCATCTCATACTTACTCAAGCAGTAGGATAACTCAGACATGAGTATCCTACCACAGGTTTTAGTCTAACTGGTTTAGACGTTAGACAGACCATGGGATGACCCGCACAGGAGTACCCCATCTTCAGTTTGTCAATCTAACTATCTAAGATGTGTATACACGTAGAGGCGAGTAATAGGATGTTCCTTACCCTGGAGCCTTATCCTATCACCCGTCCTACATACATACATCAATCAACTATAAAGCAGCAGAGGGTGAGTAAAAACAAAGAGTATAGGATGGAAATGAGAAATGACTTCGCTTGTTTTCTTATTTCATGTTTTTGTTTTCTATCTCATTCTCTTTCTTGTTTCCTTCCTTCTTCTCTTCTTTGTACATTTTCATTCCATCATTTTTGTCCTCCCGTCTAGATGACCTTATGTGCACTTACACTTGCTCTAGGCTAGCGTGCACGGAGGTGATCACTGTACACAGTCCAGGCCCTTAGCAGCGAGTCAAACTGTATGACCGTGGGTAGGGGACCCGGGATCACTCAGCCTTGTCAACTGTTGCATAAGGCTGGGCTTCGGGGTGGTCAAAGTTCAGTCTTGTTTTGTTGCCTTGATGCTGGCTCAACGCTGGTTGAGGATTACGCGGGACCGTGGCAGCATGCTGACGCTGTCTACTGAGCGCCAAACATTGTTGATGTGGCGCATGCCACCGGTCTACACTCCTGCTGTGGCACAGGTCAGTTGTCGACATTGGAGATGCGGCACAGACCACCTGTCGACATTGCAGATGCAGCGCAGAATACCTGTCGACATTGCAAATGCGGCGCAGACCACTTGTCGACATTGCAGATGCGGCGCAGACCACTGTCTATTTTGCCGCTATGGCACCACCTTTTGTCTACACAGTTGACGTGGCATTGGCCATGCTGTCTACAACTGACGCGGTGATGCCAATCGGGCCTGTCTGTCTTGCTGTTGTGGCCCAGGCCAATGGCCTACTCTGCTGAGGTGGTGCTGCAACTGGTCTGCATCGTTGCTGTGGCGCAGACCATTGGTTTATAGTGCACTACTGATGTAGCACTGGCCCCTATTTTCATTGATGATGTGGCGCAGGCCACCAGTCTACATGGCTGACGTGGCATTGGCTACACCGTCTACAGTGTTGATGTGGCGCAAGCCACTCATCTACACTGCTTGATCTGGCGTCGACCACTTGTTGTGGCGCTGCCGCCTGTCTACCCTGTCGTTGTGGCCCATGCCACTTGTCTCTACTACTGAAGTAGCATTGACCACGCTATCTACATGGAGTGACTAGTCGCTACTAGGAGGAAGATCGGGATCTATGGACGATTGAGGAATGGAGTGCTTACTCGCGGTTGATGTCGATATTATGTTCTACTGATTGTCCCCGTCGC